CCTCGCTTGCTTCTGTATTTAAAAATGTTTAAAGCTTTACACATAGCCATTACTTTTGGTGTAGGTTTACTTCCGAACTTTCGATACGATAACAAAATATCACGACTCAATGCGGTGATTCCACCAGAGCGAGAATTTCTACGAGATTGTTGTACAATTTGATTATCTGGTATTAATCCAGGACCGGGATTCAACTCTATATCGCCATGTATAGTAATTTGTATGGTAATATGCTTTTTGCTAATCATACCACATGACAGATCTGTATATACATCGATTATTGACTAAAGTCTGGCGCACACGATCGATGCGATTTTAGTCGGCCGATAAAAATCGTTTGACTAAAACTAACAACATCGTTGTGTGTGCGGTGTCATTTTTAACCGATTTTTGTTGCTCGATTTTAATCGGACAACATCAAAACGTTTTGATATTATAGGCTACGATTTTTATCGGTGGAATTTTAAGTATAACCAATCAGATTTCATGCTGTGATCACGTGCTTGTATTTATTTGGCAACATAGCGGCTACAGTTCAATCGTGTGCGGAGTATACCGATGTATATCGGTATGTCAAACGATTTTTATCGGCCGACTAAAATCGCATCGTGTGCGCCAGGCTTTAACGAGGGATATTAGAACTTGAAGATATTAGTCCTGGCCACTGTTCAAACCGAAGAGCATTCCTCGAAAAATAATGCTTAATAAAAATATTTGATGGGTATTGTAGATGGAAATTGTCGAGTCGAAATTTATAAATAATATGTATTATAAATCTCCACTCAACAATTTCCATCTACAATACCCAATGCATCAAATATTATTCATTCGAGTGAGATGCCACAAAAAAATCTTGACGTTTAAGTTGTTTACTGACACAATTTGAACATTTAAAAACGGCACGGGATTTTAAATTTTGTAAACAATTCTTCACTAAGGATTTTCCAATAGCAGCAGATTTTCGTAATTTAATATAATAAAGGTCGAAACTGAGCAGTTTATCATGCAATTTCACTATTTCGAAAAAGCAGTTCAATGACAATGACAATCCATGCATGGCGACATGCAAGTATACTGCATATATGAGTTTATCACTCTTCAGCTGTCGACACATGCAGCTGTTTTATGTGATACGCGACCGCCTCACGCAAAAAGGTTGATATACAGATAACTGTTTTTGACATTTACCCACGCGGATACTAAATCCAATATAACGTCAAAACTTCAATGAACAAAGCTCGCCAAATTCGATCATGTAATTTGGGGGAATTTCTATATCATGTGCCTAGAGAATCGGTTTTTCGGATCCTATCATTTCTATTTGCCGTCTTCAGGAAAGTATCAACTTAAAATTCATTCCTGCAATTTGGCTTGTAGGCATTTGAGATCGTGTGTTGACATGAATTTTATACTGAATACTCATATGCGATGACTCACATAATTATCATATGTTGAATAATTTGGCTGACTTTATTCTTGTGTTGACGTGTCTGATATTGAATCATTGTCGCGCCTAAACTGTGTCAAAATCAATATTTTAAAAGCCCTTAAAGGCTTATATAAAAGCCTTGATAAACACATGTAATACATGATCAATTTGTCTAAACTTTATGTTCTCACTTACCATTTGTGCCCGACTGTTCGAATCACCGTCTTATTAAAATCACATCTACCCGTATAGACCCTCTCTCTTGGTAATTGCCACAACCATTTCACAAGTCCCCTGCTGTACACAAAAACATCGTCATCTGTCTTCAAATAGTATTCAAACTTGCAAAATTTATAAGCCCATTCGAGACCAAGTTTTGTTTTTAATGTTAAATTATCATAACTATCAGTGAATGAGCCAATCACAAGATCGTTGTAATATTCTGATTCCGTTTCTATATTACTTTGGGTTTTTTCATTAGTTTGTCCAAGTAAAAACACCGTTTTAACCAGACTTTCTGCAGCATATGACCCGTTAATAATAATATTTGTAATATCAGGACCCATGACCATGTGTTTAATTTCAGCCCACGTACTGCGAATTATAGACCTCTGTTCAAAGTTCTTCGGAGAAGAAAATACGACAATGAGAACAAACACAGACGGTGTTTTGCTAGGAAGAACCGTGCTTGAATTTTGACGGTTGGCTTGACGAGTCGTCAATTTTGTCGGTGAAGAACGGTTTGAATTGAGCTCTAAAACAGCCGGGCGTCCCTCGTGTGAATTTATTGAAGCATACCTGTAATAGCATAGCCAAGTGTAATGCATTCCACAAAACAGTAAGAAGCTTGTGATGACAAGACGAATAAGGAATCGCTTTGAATGAAACCAAAACATTTCCTGGTAGATCAAGTGATCAACTATAGCGACCATATATTGTAGCTTCTCGTTGACTGCGCAGGTACAACCTGTCTTGTAACAGCTAGACTCCTCCTAGCTAATTTGAAGTAAAAGAATTCAGTTAAGAGCAATTTGCATGTGGCAAAGTGTAAAGACCAAATTTGCATGACTTACACAACAGCGTCAACGTTGTTGTTTGTAGACTCATTAACTCGTTACTTATTGAAAGATGAAAATTCGAGATTGTTTTTTTAGCTCACATGTTCATAGACATAGTTGTGTGGGATTGTTTGTCAGTACTATTAATACAGGTACATATAGCGACTCGTATTAATATATAACCAAATAATTCTCATTGAGAGAATAAAATATAAGGCTGACGATGCACTTGAGATCAGACAGTCCACTAGACCTGTATTCGAAACTTATTTAACTCTACTGAAGAAGCATTCAGGTAATTGTTATTCCGGTGTAATATTGAAGTTTTCGTTGGGAGCGATAGGCAACTACCTGAAAATATATAAGGAAAGCTCCAGTTTTGCATCTCTAGAGAGTATTAACACGAGTTGTCATATTATTTCATTTTATTCGCCAAGTATAAAACTATAGCTATATTCAGAATGAAACGGAAGAGTCTGAAGTATTTATAGCGGTACACGGTGGTGGCAAAAAATGTCGAATAACTATAAACGAAGAGTCCACTACATGTTCAGTTTTACTCTAAACACTAGTTTACTTATGCCGATTATTTCACCATTAATATTAAGATCTTATCTGATACATCGACATATCGATATCAGCTTGCTCATTGCTTTTCAAGCAGTATGATGGCCTGGAAGTCTTAGCATAAGCCATTGTACTATATGTATTTATGTTAATTTATGCACGGTTACAGTGTTGGGCTGATTTTATTTTCGTATATTTATAAGTAATAGCATGGCTTGAGGGAGATTAGTGATTAAATGGCCCCGTAACCCGAGGCAGGTTTGCGGAATTCCCGAGGGCGAAGCCCGAGGGAATTCCGCAAACCTGCCGAGGGTAAGGGGTCATTTAATCACTAATCTCCCGAAAAGCCATGCTATTGGTTTGTAATAGCATAGTTTCGCTCCCATTTAAAAATGGACAAACATGCCCTACTTGGAATCAGCGTATTTAAGCTAAAACATTTGCTTCATTGCTTGTGGGATGTAAAAGCTTGTTGCTCATGCGCACTTTTTACGCTTTAATCGGTTACGCATGCGCAATCTATCATTTAACGTACCACAACAAAAACGCTAAATATATTAGTATAAAATTGGAGACTGCACGAACGTAATTTAAATGATGCGGCAACTCAGGGATCGGATGATAGACTATTGACGGCTCTGAGCTAACTTTTGCTGTTCCTTGCACGATTATGTGCGTGAGGCACTTGCCTAATGCGTAGTCGTCAGGGAGACAAAGGTGTGACCCTTGGTAACGGGCGATTAGTTCTAATCGCCCGCTCTAGCGGGCGATTAGAACTAATCGCCCGCTACAGCGGGCGATACGTGATTAAACGTCCCTGTTGAAACAAAAGAAACCCGGGCAACTATGCTATTAAATAAAGTAATTGTCCAATAGCTGCCTCGTAACCCAGGAGCTTTGGTTTGTTTACTTTATCAAGCGCACACGCGGGACGGCACGCGGGGGAGAAAAACGGAAATCTGTATTATAAATTTATACTAGTTTACCCACAGGGTAGTGAATGCTGCCTTGGTATAGCATTGTTCCCAAATCTTTAAATGAGATAGTTTTTGTATGTTACGTAACACGCGCTCAAAAGTAATGCCTTTAATATTATTATTATTATTATATTATTATTATTTTAATATTATTATGCCTTTATTATTATTATTTTACTATTATTTTATGAGATTATGCCGGACTAAAATCAAAATTTTTATTTTTCGATACGTTTCTCAATCGGTAAAAAAAAAACACCTTAAAAAGTATGTTTAGTGCTTTATCTGTAAAATAATGGCATGCTAAAATGAAGAGATTTTAGATGATACGCCAAAGAGAAAATGATGTCTGAAGGTTCAGTACGTTTTGCTTAAATGGCTGTAAATATAGCGTCAATTTTAAGGCATCATTGATAACTGTATTTTAATTGGTAATTTTTAACTATTATTTTATGTTTCTCAACCGGCAGACGCATTTAAAAAGGTAGCTAACTCTATAAACTGTAGAGAATACAGCTAAAACAACGTAATTTTGAGAGGAACGCCAAAAAGATTTTAGGTTTTGAACACTTTTCATTGCAAATACGTGACATTGAAAAAAAATTGCCTCTTAATATTTTAAAGAATAAGAAATATTCGTAATGAATTGGAATCATCCATAATTTATACACTTGAATGTGCCGTATGATAACTCGGCGCTCGAACTGTCTCGAAGTTTCGTATCGAAAGAGGAACAGCCGAACAGGTACAATGGCTAACAAGAACGAGTGTACTTATCAACTTATCTAACGCGAGGAAAAAATCAAAATGGAAGGTATGGCTGTGATATCTAGTATATAAAATTGTATAGACAATTTGCCCACAAATACGGTGCTAGGTCAAAACGGCCCAAAGTCAAAACGGCCCAAAGTCAAAATGGCCCCGCTTCAATAATATGATTTAGACCAGGGGTTAAAGGGCAATGACAATGACATGCAGGTGACATTTAACATGTGCGAGTGTGCGTCTCACTAACTTGCGTGTTTAATAATGTTTATCAAAGAAGGCAAAAATATATACAAGACAACCTCACATGTGGAATCTGTTCACTTACGCACTGCGTTGTGATGCAGTACAAGTACAAATACAAATGACAAAGCATTTTTAAAGGCTTTAAATCCTAAAACATAATTAAATCATACGGCACATTCAAGATTTTAATATCGTATTTCAGCCGCGTTTATACTGCTTGGCGCGCATTTGCTGTGTTATACTAATTTATATACCTATGTTATATACACAGATTTATTACTAATAAATCAACACTATTGATAATATATAAGAACTCACAAAGTGCAGTCACCTTTTTAAAAGCATGTCATTGTCATTGCAGACCAGACTCCAGAGGCACAAAGCACAGCCACATAGGCCTACCAGATTTATTAAGCAATCGTGAGATTATATACAATAAAGAATATGGAAATTATGTTAAAAGCACCCCGTATAATGACGAAAGCACCGCATATAATGCTCGAACGACTGCGTATAATGGCGAACGCACCGCGTATAATGGCGAAAGCACCACGTATAATGCTCGAACCACTGCGTATAATAGCGAAACCACCGCGTATAACGCTCGAACCTCTGCGTATCGACAAAATGCCGTTTGATCACTTACGCCAGCTATGGCTTTCCATAAAAGAAAACCAAAGATGAAAGATGATCACATTGCTTGTTTGCCTTATGCCTGTTTATATTAGGCAAGAATAGCCTGCCGGCCCGGAAGCAGTGCATTGTGGTAGGCCGAAATACGCCGAAACCATAGATATAGGAGATCTAGATTGCTAACGCATACCTAGCGCAGGCGGGGCCTACATGATAAATCCAAGATGGCGGTACAAGAGGGCAAAAAGACTATAGATTCTATTACGAAAATCAAGATTTTTGCATTTTTTGCCGTCGCATTGTTTTGAAACTTATTCGGTCAAATTTTATGGTAAAGAGAAACGTACCGCGAAGATTTAGAGCATATATATGATTGAATTGGATGAAAACTCGCAAAATTATCCAGCGATAAAAGTTCGTGTGAAATGGTCAGTTGGTTAGTTGGAACGTTTTATTGCCAGAAATACTGTGCTATGTTAACATCTAGTCTTGTGAATGGTGTTTTATACTTGCATCTTTCATCATCATCTGCTCTGTCCTCATAATTATGAAATATGAACTGTTATGTACCCCCCCCCCCCTTGCTTGTTAGAGAAGTAAACTGATGAGAGCACTGGATAAGGGTCTATCATCTATGGTCTGTTATAATTTGCTTTATATGCAAATAGTGAGCAAAAATTAAAGCAAAACTGTACAAGTTACATATATAGTACTATATCAGTACTATACACGAACTTTTATTGCTGGATAATTTTGCGAGTTTTCATCCAATTCAATCATAAATATGCTCAAAATCTTCGCGGTAAGTTTATCTTTACCATACAATTTGACCGAATAAGTTTCAAAACAATGCGACGGCAAAAAATGCAAAAATATTGATTTTCGTAATAGAATCTATAGTCTTTTTGCCCTCTTGTACCGCCATCTTGGATTTATCATGTAGGCCCCGCCTGCGCTAAGTATGCGTTAGCAATCTAGATCTCCTATATCTATGGCCGAAACCATAGATATAGGAGGCCGAAACGATCGAGATTTCATCTGCCTTATATATATATACATATATACATAAAGATTAGGATTGCTGCCTCGGTCGCTCGCTTCACGCTCGCTCGCTACGGCAGCAATTATCATTCAAATGACATTGTTTACATGGGAAATACGGGTTTTTGTATTGCCAATACGCTTTGGAGTGTAATATTTGACTGAAAATGTTAATAGTTTGCCTTATTTATACTGTTTAATTTAGTATTGGCTTTTGTAGTTTGAGTGCAGTCATTGCAGTGTCACTATTTTGCTATTTTTGTTCATTGTATTTATTGTATCGCTGACCTCAAAATTTGTAGTTGAGATACAAAATTTGATTTATCTGTCAAGATTTGGGTATAATTTAGAGCTATATGGTTCAAATATAGGTTTTGTTTATATTTTCATTTTAACCCTTGCATGGCTATTGGAATTAATTACTTCGACTCCTGTGGCATTCAGGACGGGTCGGTTAATTGTTCAAAGCTAGATTAGCGTTACTGTCGATGCAATAGAAGTGTTGATAAAATATTGCACGAATTCCTTTCCTCAAGATGATCAATTCATTTGATAGAAAATTGATCAACTTCCTGTTACTTCTAGATGAGCCAATTAGATTTAGTTTCAGAACCGATTGACCAATAGGAAACGCACAGAAAGTAAAGAGAAATTTGAATTCGTACGAATTGAATTGATCAACTTGAGGAAATTAATTGTGCAATATTTT